TAGCAGCGTCTGCTAGCTGTGTAGGAGGTTTTTGTGTCTTCTAGAGGCTTTTCCTCAGAGTAGGAGTCAGCGCAGACATTTGGTCACGAAACATCATTGGATGTCGTGATCAATCATAGTTAGTTTTGATTGGCTGGTTCTTTCCAGTCAGAAGTAATTCACTTCCAGTTATTCCTTCTGCCTGTCAAGTGCCTGTTCCTGCCCACTGCCCTTCCAACTCATATTACCAACTCGACTTGTCATTGTCACCTGAACAAGCCGTGCTCTTGAACAGTCGTTGGGTCTTGGCCACTGCTGCCTAATCCGAACTGTCGAAATAGAAATTTGCATGTTTATCATTATTCTCCCGTGATTACTCCGGAATGTAAAGGGACTATTGTACACGAGACTCCTTGATATGAAGCGGGTGTCGACAATGTGACGCCTTGGGTATATGTTTGGTGTTTATTTGGGGCTTAGGGCTGGTCTGGATACCACGATAATCTGTCAGAAAAGGGCCATTTTGCCAGGAAAAGCTCGAGAATGTCAAAAAATTGAATTCTTTATAAATCCAGTGTCTGGATGCCGCAGAAACTAGAAAAAATCTTTCAGAATTTTCGAGTGATTTGCCCAAATATTATAGGACAGAAATAAAAGACGCCAATTTGGCCCATTTTTTTCCTGTCACTTGCCTCCAGACATTGACATGAATTCATATGGGAATAATTTGTCTAGCGGTTTAATTTTGGCTAATGAAAATTGATTAAGAGTTTCATTGGATGAAAAGTCGACACATCAATGTGGTCAATCGGCCCATCAATGGTCGGTCACGTTATACCGTGTAACCGTGTACCCCCGCTTCTGTACTTATGATTTCTCCGGTTGAGCAAATTGGACAAATATACCCAATCACATGCATAACAGCGAATGAATTTGGCTGTATTTGTCACTTCGAGCTGTAATACTCATACTACAGACTACTGTAGTACTGTAGTAGTAATACAGTACTACTATGACTACTATGTAGTGGCAAATACAATAGTATTCGATATTATTCCATCGCACAATGACGAGTTCCCTGTTAAATGAACTGCAAATTGAGGAACTTTGAAGGGGGTAATCCCCCCTACGGGACGAAGGGCTTGGCAGCTCCACATTTTATCAAATGTTGCGTGTTGCCGCGGTGGCTGTTGGTGGAATAGCACGCTGACGTAACATACTTTTGGGTGTCCATGTCGCCACTCTAACCACTCAACTGGAGGCGATGGGATGATCGGTAGTTGACGCAGGTATTCGTCTCAGGTGGCAACTCAAACCATGCTCTAACCCGGGGGTGATACTGGTACCAGTATAAAAACCTAAAAATATAGTCACATCATCAGGTGTGCAAGACGTGCTACACCAATTTCAGCTTTTTCAGTATATTTCCCCTGGAAAGTGTTATATATGCTTCACCAAATTTCATTTCACTCCATTTAATTTCGTGGATATAATGACGGTCACCAAACCGTCATTACAATTCACCGAATCGTTGTCAATTGTCAGTTTTTCGTATTGGTAATTCGATTTCAAATTGGACTAGGGCTGCCAATCGAATCGACGAAGCAAAATCGACGCAGTAATCGACGGACCGAAGTAGCCAATGAAATTTTCGAAAAAAGATCTTTCGACCAATCATATTGCAGGTGGTTGTATTTGGTGTATGGCCAAGCTTCTCCATTTCACAGAGTTCAACATTGCATCGGACAGACAGTGAGTATATTTAGATTAAGTAAAATGACGTCTCGATGATTTCAGGTGTTCGTCGAATCTACCGAAAATACCAAATTCAGCTTTAAAGCACAATAAATTTTTAAAATAGATTTTTTTATGAATAACCTTTACTACATGTAGTAGTACTTTAGGTTTATAGTTAACAAGTTTTGATATTGCTGAAATTATCATGAAAATGGTACACACACACTACAATGAAGGCGATAGGTGGGAGGAATCACCATCCGAAAATAATGTTATGTTAGCCTTGTCATCAATACTTACACATGTTAACGTTAGTCTAAGCATCAAAAATTCTGGACCAGGCATCGTCGATGAAACATGTCCCTAAATGTCCCCAACTTGTCATACTCGCTCGGCGTACGAACGACGTTCAAAGATCAATCGGCAGGATAACCCTTACCCTTCTGTGGGTCCTGCCGATTGATCTTTGAACGTCGTTCGTACGACGAGCGAGTATGAAGTTCTGTGCAAGTTTACCAAGCGAACTTTTTCTACGGACGATTAGATACATCGACACAGAGGGTCCAGTCGCTCTCCTGAGAGTTTGAAAGTCCATTTTCAATATGAAACAATCCTTGTTGAACTGGATTACTTGGCCCCAATAATACCCCAACTTTGTCCACGTTACGCCGGCGTCATTTGCACCCGTTTGATGAGGTTGTTGTTGTACGTGACAACATCGAGGGCACTTTCAAAGCACACGCTCGAGCCAATCCACGTGGTTCGTCGCTGGCCTTGCATGTTCCAGATCTTCCTCGGCAGCCCCTTCTTGAGTCCTTCTTGGGTGAATCGGGGAAAATAGTTGAAGGGCCGCTGCGTCCACACGGCGACCTGGTTCATGCCGGCCAGCGCCAAGTCCTTTCTCAACAGGGGCGTGACGCCCCCTCGGACCACTTGACTGAGGGGTGTGTCGTAGTACTGGTACGCCACGCGCGTTTGGTGGCCCTTGATCAGATCACCCCACTCGGTGGAGCCTCGGTACTTCAGCGTGAGCTTCGAGTTGCGCAGCGCACTCAGCCGTCCGCCTTGCGTCATGCGGTAGTACCAGATCTGGGCCGCCGTTTCCACGGGCGACGGCAGCGAGTCGAACAACGTCGTCACGAACGTCGACGCCGTGTAGCTTCCCGTGAGAATCGCGCGTTCATCCGCCGTGAGGTCGGTCACCAGCGTCGCAAACGCGCTCAAGTCCACGGCCATTACCACGTGGTCGCAGTCGACGCGAATGGTCTGGCCCGACGCTTGGGTCTTGTACGTGACAAAGGGCTTGGACACGCCGTCCAGACCTCGGGAGACGCGGGTCACGGTCGCGTCGAACACGGTCTTGACCACGTTGCGGTGGGCCTGCGACATGGTTTTCCAGATGCTTTGAAACCCGTTGCGAAACTGGAACGCACACGGCACGTGGGCGACTTGGGCGCGCAGAATCTTGGACACGGCTTGGGGGTGCGACCACCACAAAAAGTAAAAGGCGGGGATGGTTTCCAGCACCCCGTAGCCCTGCTGCTGCTGCGAAAACCGAAACATTCCTGTGAGGGCGGTGAGGTTGTTGGCCTTGATGAACGCCATAGCCATCATGTCGATGGCTGACCAGTCTTTGGGGTGGGGGGGAAGGCCGTACGCGTACGAGCCAAAGATGCGGCGGTGCAGGGCCATGTACCAAGCGGATTGCTCTTCAAAAAGGGCTTGCAGTTGGGCGGTGGTCGCATTTTTCGGGAACGACGCCGGGGCGTTCTCCTTAATCGAGCGGAGCAGGTAGTGGGGGAAGTCTAGGACGGTGTCGGGGTCTGCGTCGGCCGCCCCCGCGCTCTCCCCCATCGTGTACATGTAGTTTGGACTTTCAAGCGCAAACGAAAACCGGGTGTTGGTCGGGTCGTACTCGCGGCCGAGGTCGAAGATGGGCGTGTACGTGTCCAAGGCGAACACAGTCCCCATTTCCTGGGGCTGACTGCGGTCGTCGAGGGCCGTGGTGGACTTTCCCCCCACGCGGTCGCTGGCTTCGAGCACTTGGATGTTGGTGAACCCTTTCTTGGCCAAGAGGGACGAGTAGTGGACTCCCGCGGCCCCCCCGCCCACGATGCGGTCGTTGCGACCCATCGAGATGGTCGAGGTTTGGGCTTCGATAGATGTCGCCAGCAACGCAACGGATGCCACCAACAGCAGTGCAGTTTGGTGCATATTGATACTTGTCGTGAGGGAGTCTGAAAATTGAAGAATGGCAAATAGACTAGAATTGTGTTTGCCACACTACGGCCATGTCGCAAGGTGCGTTGGGTTTCTCACGGCTCTGCCGTCCACATGTGGAACTTTGTCATGATTGCGAAGATCTCCCCCATATGGTCATGCGAAATAGTCACTTTGCCACAATCAAAAGGGGATAGCTATCTTGGAGCATGACGTGAAGGTGGGATTTTCTGGGGAAATCATCGATTGATGTGACCGTACTTTAGAATGGGGCCGAAAGAAACATTGTATCCTCGGGGCTGTACCGTACAAAGTTCTACTTCGAAGTAGTGGTGCGTCGACGTAAACACTGTTGCAGTCACTGAAGAGACAATTTGGGGACATTGGGGACATGTTTTATACACGTAGACGAATATGAACGATCTAGTATTGACAATATAAGGTTACGACGTAGTACTGGAGTACTAGTATTAACAGGAAGTAGACCTGCAGTTGTTAATTTATTTACGTGAGGTAAGGATACTACTATTAATTGTACTATGGTAGTATTGATTAATAGTTCTACCAAAAACCCGGGATTCGCTGTATTCCAACGCTTTGACTTTCATCCATTAAATATGCACCTACACCTGAGACGATATACATCGCATGTATCAGACATCGCTGCCGATCGTCGTTGGCTCAAGTTGAGTGGTCAGAAGGGTGGCTTTGACATCCAAAGGTATGCTACCAGTACACCAACCCTACTATCCGTAGTAAGTTACTTACTAAAGCAGTAACTCCCTGAAAGCAACAGTTCCACTGTTGCTTACGTAATCCTTTCACTTGTTTCTTATTATGCCATAGTTAATGTACTGTAGCGTAAATCAAAACCACACATTAGGGCCAGTGGTGAAGTGCATTTCAGCAGTTAGCGATAGGTAACTTCAGTGGATGCACTTAACTCCGGGAGAAACACAAGGGGTCCGGGGTTTCCGAGGTTACAGGCTATTGGTTCTTTTGATGGGAAATGATGGCGAAGCTACAGTGGAATGTTGCTGGCAGGGAATTACATAACTATTCAACCCTACGCTACGCGACACTTGGCTATGCATAAAACGAGGAGTACAAGTACGCAGCCCCATCGCCCCCCAGAGAATTACAGTACCACGCTATATCGCAATGCCCCTAAATGCGAAACACTTTCAACCAAGACCACTTCACTGCCGGATGGGGGTTGACAGTCAGGTCGAACTTAAAAAGGTTCAGGATAAAGAGGAGGGTATCATGCAATTGAATTGAGTCAATTTCTACGCATGCAATGTGGTCGTAAACGATTAGAAGGATTCACAATTGCAACACTAATGTTACGGGCAGTACATCGGTAGGAAAAAATTCAACGGCGTTGCAATGTCAGACTTGTGACTTGTACATTTCTGTTCCATCTGATATGTTGACGGACATTCATCCGTTTCTACAAGATGGCAGACCTGTAGTTTCGTCCTTGATGAATTGATTGCACCCTTTTCTCGCCTTCGAATCTATGCCAAAAATCCCTCGGCTTGTACTACGTAGTATGTGTCATGCTACTTGCAATAATTACAGTAGGAAGGCATGGCTACTTGACAGGAACACAAGACGAGTCTTAGATGCGGGGGCACGAAGCCGTGGCCGTGACATTGCATGTGCTTTGGGTGCTGGTATCACGCTTCAAGTTGAAGTCGGCCCCCGCGCAGTGCCCCACGAGTTGAGCACGTTAAACGATGTGCCGTCGAACCCGATGGCAATGACGGCGTGGTATGACTGCGCGAAACACGCTCACGATATCCCCCATTGGCGGGTCGCACCTTTTTGACCGGCGAGATTGCTGACACAGGGGTGGACGAGACTGCATCGTTTTTGCCCACGCCCAAGGACTGGACCACGTCTGGCTGTGTGAAAGCCGCGCAAAACCAAGGCAGCTGCGGATCGTGCTGGGCCTTCTCTGCGGTGGGGGCGGTCTAATCGGTCAACGGTATCAAGACGGGCAAGTTGCTCAAGCTGTTTGAGCATCTTGGTTACAATGGGGGCTGGCCCTGGTGTGGCATCGACTACGCTGTCAGTGGGTTGTGATTGTCGTCGCCATATCCATACACGTCCGAAAGCACCGGCCAAATCGGTGCATACATGAGCTGCACCAAGCAGACACTGGACATTGGCACCAGCGGGCGTGTGTCTAGCGACGCCAGTGTGCTCAACATCCTCCCCGTGTACTGTACGTGCCGGCAATATCCTATGAAAGAACCGCGCTGGGGTGTCGTGAGCGTGTGTCCCCTCGCGCCCAGTCCGACCACGCCGTCATTGCCGTGGGGATCGACGCCACCTCGTTCAACGCGCGCAACTCGTGGGGTACTGGGCGGGGGACGACCTCAACTTAAAGCGCAGTACCAGCAACCCTGCAAAAGTGAGGGAGTTGCATAAACGACTACCGTAAAGTTACATGCTGTAACGATCCGTGACATCCTCAATTACGGCACGGATTATCTAAAATACAGAGGTTTATTGACTGTGAATACAGTTCTCCGGGGTAATAAACACCGAGTATCATAGCCAAAACGAGTGAAAAGCACAATAATACTAATGTTCCAAGGAGATATTTTTAGCAAATGAAACATTGGTTCCAAGTATGAACATCACCACTGCCATGAAGCCTCAGGTAGCAGCAGCATTGGCTGCAGCTATTAATAGTAGGTGGTTTTTGTGCCTTTTAGGGGCTTTTCCTCATATAGTAGATAGCCAGCCATAACCACGGTACATCATTACGATGCCATGTCCTGATTGACTAACCATTAGCTAGACCGTCGAGCCTCTAGAGCCAGTTGTTCTCACTGGTGACTAAGCTAATTAACTTTCCGTTTCACCCACAACCACCCAGTGTTCCTCCTGGCTTTTGCACCTTCCCGTTGGCGCTACTACGTCGACTAGACTCACAGTAGTACATACTGAAGAAGGTATTTCCCATGTAGTTTCTTCGAAATTCCACCAAGTTGAATATCGCGAAAATATTCAATACTGTGCGGGGCGTCTTCAGTAGCCCGCCTTCAGCTAATGTTGGGAGGGCATCCCCAATGGTGCGACGGTAAACGCTATTTTACCGTTTTTGGGGTCAAATATGCAGTTTTGGCAACCCCAACGGTGCGACGGTATCTACCGGAAACGGAATATTTTACCGTCTTGTGACCACCCGACGGCAAAATACAGGAGCCAATCATCAACCACAAAGCATCATATTTCCTTCCACCAATAAAACGCATGTATTTGAGCATGGACATTTCCATACAAGTATTGACACTTTGCTGGAATGGCTCTCAACGGGGTGCGAACTTCACCACTGACGAGGACTGCCAGCTTGTTTATTCGTGGTTGAACATATCCCAAGATGAGTCTAAGGGAAGCGGGCAAAAGGTCGAGCAGTTTTGGGCCCGCGTGGAGGCGAACTATTGCACCTATTGCGAGCCAGACTGCCATCGCGCAAGCACTATCCTTAGCTACCCAGTGGAGCAACATACTGGAATAATGCAACAAGTTTGTTGGGTTTCAGCATAGTCTCGTTTAACGTACGCTCTTGACCCCGGTGTTTGGCGTCGTCCGTTTCTCGACCTTAGGATCTCCTAGCGTCGTCCATGCCCTCGCCGTCGTCGTTCCATGCCTCGATGGCGTTGCACAACGAACAGTAAGCCTCTATATCCGGAAGTGACAATTATGCGGATTTTATACCGTTTTACCGTTGGGGTTGCGCAAAAGTAAAATACAGTGACGGTAAACGTCAAAATACAGTCAGATTATACCGTCGCACCATTGGGGATGCCCTAAAACATGGCACATTCTATCCATACGTAGGATATAGCTATGCTACACCAGATTTCGTGCACAAACAGCAGCAATAACGTTAAGACCAGAACGATCACATTGATTTGGAGCTATGTCGGTTTGTGGAGGGGTGGAATTCAGCCTACGCCACAAACTGACAAGGTTTCGCTGAGGGCGACTGGTGTCACGAAGTACACTGTGCACCACAGCACGTGGCCACTAAGCTTCCATTAGAATGCCTTGTGGCTGAGTCGTTGTACTCATGCTCTGCGTGCTGTAGAATGGCAGCAAGGCTATGCCACTACAGTACCCTATATTTAGACCAGCTATTACCATCGTCAATAAACTCACCAACATAACTTGGTCTATGACTCTGTTGGGACAGGAAAACTCTATACTCACAAGACTTTATTAAACGTGATTTGTTTGTAACAACGCCCTATGTTCTGTACAGTATTAACGACGGAATTGTTGTGATAACGACGAGATTATTATGCGAACAACGAGATTATTGTGCGAACGACGAGATTAATGTGCTAATGACTAGTTTTGTGTGAAGACGACTGGTTTTGTGTGAAAGCGACCAGTTTTATTGTGACATCGACGATAAACATGTGCTAGCGCCATATCTGTTGAGTGTGAATCTAATTTCGTTGTGACGGAGATATTACCTCGCCTCATAGTAGTATATGTCGCTTCGATTGTAGCAATGTACACTATCTATAGATTACACCCTCGATAGCACAATATGAACAACAATTGGCCTGGGGGTAGCAATGAGATACTGTGGAGTTGGAGGCGATGTTCACGTGGGCAGTCGAGTATGTAAACCATTTAGGTAGTGCTCATTGCTACAATTGTAGCGACGTATACTATGAGGCGATCATAATATTCTGAGTGGTGACTGCAGCCTCGACTTCCTCATACTAGTATACCTCACCACTCGATTCCTAATTGATAGCACATTTGCATAGTTGCATATCTTGTTGTCGTGTCCCTCAATATTTCAACTGTTCTTAACTCAAATGCACCCATGTCTAAGGCTCCATGCACACACATCATGCTGTACGTATTACTGTATGTATGCGTGGAAGCATTCTCGTCGATGGCCAAACCTGTCCCCATCATCCCAATGATGGTCATACAGTCACCGAATCTGCCCACAGCCCGAAAGATGCCTTTACAGCGCGGAAGGGAGAGGACATCCTTCCCACCTTCCAAAAGTAATGAAGGCAGATCTGCTTCTGCCATTGGCGAAGACGGGGGTGATAGCGACCGCCTTCCACGCCGCGACGACATCTTCCATCGACGGGCTGTAGCCAGACGTAGAGCTCCAATATTGTGTGTAGTGTTTTCACATGTGCTTGGTCAAAGAATGACTGGAATTGGTCCTGTATTGGCCGAGATACAGTAGGGTGATTAGATGGCGTGCGATGATCGGCGATGCCAAGATGCCAAGTAGCATGTTTGTATTAGCTGTCAAAATTGTTGGATAAAATAGCTTATGCATCTCAAATTATTTACACGCGCAAGTCCCCATTCCATTAAAGTGGTGTTAAACCCCAAAAAGCACGCGTGAAAACTATTTTTCCATAATCAAAGTACCGGTACTAGTACATGTAGACTCATGCAGACATAACGTAGGGCACCAGTCATCGGCAAAGACACCAGTCATCGGCACTGTTCTAAGCCAATAGAAATTCCCGAATACCTCTTATTGGTCAAAATGTAGATCTTCAAGAATTAGTGCCCCTATAAATTAGAGGTTGGACCAGTCAATTTTGTGTTAATCATACAGAAATCGTTACTGTAGAAGTTAATACCTATTCTAAACACATATTCCTTTGATAGCTAATATGATGACAGCATCCCGCGAACCAGAGCGTGGAGGATTCAATACATTACACAAGTCTAAAACGTGTGCCGATGACTGGTGCCCTACAAAACACGCTACATTTGAAAATCCTTACTGCACGCACGTGTTTACTATTGAAATTGATATCCTTTGAACCTCAATTCATGAGCTGAATCTGGCGGTTATTTTGATATTTGTATCATGTTGTAGTCAACGAGAAATCGACGAACAAAGTAAGCAAAGAGCGATGCTGATTACTACGTTACAATTAATCATGGTCGTTATACACATTAACTTGTTGATCCGTTCCTCATCGCGACCGTGCCTGAAGATTCAATCAGCTCGCATTACGGGCACCACACAAAACTGGTAAACAACTCGCAGTCGGACTGCGAGTACGGCAACAACTGGCGGGTCGCTGGCCAAAAGCATGTGTTGCGGTTGCCATCGCACTTGTCATTCGCCGTCGGATTCGTCGTTGGCTTGGCGGTAGTCACGGGGCTCGTCGTTGGCTTGGTGGTGACGGGGTGTAACCTCGGAACCTCCGGACTCCTTGAGTTGCTATTCCCGGGGTTAAGTTACGTCTCAGTAGTGATCGATAGCTAACCACTGAAATGTACTTAACCCCTAGCTAGAATGTGTTGGTTTGGTTAAAACTGCATTTAACTATGGCATAGTAAGAACAAGTGAAATGATTTCGTAAGTAACAGTGGAACTGTTGCTCTCAGGGAATTCCTGGAGGTGTACTGTACTGTACATCTCAGACGTACGATTACGAAAAAATGTCTAACTACGGGAGGTGCTGCGATAGGGGCTACAGTTAACGATAGATTTTAAGCTCCGAAGTTGTGCCTAATTTACACTATCACTCGAAGTTGTGCATAATTTACGCGATGTAATTGGTCAGCGTACTACTTCGAATTTGGAGGAATATTTGTTGTATTTTGGCCAACAAGATGACTCTATTTTCTTCCGCCCATATTACTACTATTAACAGGCAGGCCAGCGGAGGATGTACAGTTACATATTTTGGTCATACTATGATTTTCAAACTTCGTCCACAGAGCTCAGTAAGCCACAGAGATTTCGGAATGTGTCCTTGACTATTCGGCCATCTTCACATGCCATTTGCACGCTTTCGGAGGCCGGAACAACCGCGAAAACTTGCATGGCGCATGGGCCCTCGATGGATTCAACGGCCTTCCCTGCGCGTGTCATTGGACACATTTTGGTTCTTTCTTCCAATGGAACGCCAGTAAAAATGTCAGTAACGTTTTTGCATACTTGTAGAACTCAAAATGGATTCAATTATCCTATATATTGTTAATAACCACTCTGGCCTTTTCCGGTCGAAAGGCTGTTCCCATAGTAGCTCAAATCTGATTTTCATCAGAGTACGCATTAAAATGCGTACTACGTAGTACTTTCGTATTGATAAAACTACTGTACACGGACATCACATCTGCACTTTGTTCCGATTACTCTCCAATCCAGGAAGTAAATCCCCATTGTCCCAAGCTCGTTGGGATAGAACAACGAGGTTAAATCATTGAGAAGCAGCTTCAACCAAGTTGAATGATATGCTCCCACAAGATAGGGCGATGCTTCACTTGCCGCCATTGTCCCGTTGTTGACTGCGAGGACGCATGCAAATGCGCTTTAAATCATTTGGTCTTGGACATTCACAGAGAGCTTCGTC